TCTCTGACTCATTTGTGTCTTCAACTTCCAACTGTGGCCTCTTGTTTCTGTGTCCCCTCCCTGGAACATCCTGTCTTTGTCCACCTTGTCTATTCCACGCAGTATTTTATATGTCGTTATCATGTCTCCCCTGACCCTCCTGTCCTCCAGTGTCGTCAGGCCGATTTCCCTTAATCTTTCTTCATAGGACATTCCCCTTAGCTCTGGAACTAACCTTGTCGCAAACCTTTGTACTTTCTCTAGTTTCTTGACGTGCTTTCTCAAGTGCGGGTTCCAAACAGGTGCTGCATACTCCAGTATGGGCCTGACATACACGGTGTACAGTGTCTTGAACGATTCCTTACTAAGGTATCGGAATGCTGTTCTCAGGTTTGCCAGGCGCCCATATGCTGCAGCAGTTATCTGATTGATGTGTGCTTCCGGAGACATGCTCGGTGTTATACTCACCCCAAGATCTTTCTCCTTGAGTGAGGTTTGCAGTCTTTGGCCACCTAGCCTATACTCTGTCTGTGGTCTTCTGTGCCCTTCCCCTATTTTCATGACTTTGCATTTGGCAGGATTAAATTCGAGAAGCCATTTGCTGGACCAGGTGTCCAGTCTGTCCAGGTCTCTTTGAAGTCCTGCCTGGTCCTCATCAAATTTAATTCTCCTCATTAACTTCACATCATCTGCAAACAGGGACACTTCTGAGTCTAACCCTTCCATCATGTCGTTCACATATACCAAAAATAGCACTGGTCCTAGGACCGACCCCTGTGGGACCCCGCTCGTCACAGGTGCCCACTGTGATACATCATTACGTACCATGACTCGTTGTTGCCTCCCTGTCAGGTATTCTCTGATCCATTGCAGTGCCCTTCCTGTTATATGCGCCTGATGCTCTAGCTTCTGCACTAATCTCTTGTGAGGAACTGTGTCAAAGGCCTTCTTGCAGTCCAAGAAGATGCAATCAACCCACCCCTCTCTCTCGTGTCTTACTTCTGTTATTTTATCATAAAACTCCAGAAGGTTTGTGACACAGGATTTGCCTTCCATGAATCCGTGCTGGTTGGCATTTATACTCTTGTTCCGTTCCAGGTTCTCCACCACTCTTCTCCTGATAATCTTCTCCATAACTTTGCATACTATACACGTCAATGACACAGGTCTATAATTTAGTGCCTCTTTTCTGTCTCCTTTTTAAAAATGGGAACTACATTTGCCGTCTTCCATACCTCAGGTAGTTGCCCAGTTTCCAGGGACGTGTTGAAGATTGTGGTAAGTGGCACGCACAACATATCTGCTCCCTCTCTAAGGACCCACGGGGAGATGTTGTCCGGTCCCATTGCCTTTGAGGTATCGATGTCCCTTAGCAGTTTCTTCACCTCCTCCTCATCTGTATGTATGTCGTCCAACACTTGTTGGTGTATTCCTTGCTGGTGTCCCATGCTGGTCTGTCCCCCAGAGTCCTTCCTGACTCTACTGTAAATACTTCTTAAATCTCGTGTTGAGCTCCTCACATACCTCTAATCGTTTCTTGTGAGTTCTCCACCTTCTTTCCTCAGCCTTATCACCTGGTCCTTGACTGTTGTCTTCCTTAATGTGGTATACAGCAGTTGTGTGTGTGTGTGTGGTGTGTGTGTGAGTTGTGGTGTGTGTGTGTGGTGTGTGTGTGTGTGTGTGTGTGTGTGTGTGTGTGTGTGTGTGATTTTTCTTAGTTTTAAAGACTCAGAGTTCACCTTTAGGCTTAAAATTATAGTGGAAACGCTTATTACGTCCTCATCAGGTCTGTATGTGAGATCCATACGATGTACAGGTATAATACAATATGCAGTGTTGTCTTTATTGTTAAAATTAGTTTAAGAATTTACAGGAAGTCCCAACTGTGAGGTCCAACTCTTAATATTCACCCAGAGAACCAAGATACAAAATATCTGCTGATTTCTCGAACATCTCAAACATGTGTGATACAGGTTGAATAAATAGTGGTGGGGGAGGGTGCAGGGGAGGGTGCAGGGGAGGGTGCAGGGGAGATGGTGCAGGGGAGGGTGCAGGGGGAGGGTGCAGGGGAGGGTGCAGGGGAGGGTGCAGGGGGAGATAGTGCAGGGGGAGGGTGCAGGGGAGGGTGCAGGGGAGATAGTGCAGGAGGGAGGGTGCAGGGGGAGGGTGCAGGGGGAGAGTGCAGGGGGATAGTGCAGGGGGAGGGTGCAGGGGAGGGTGCAGGGGAGATAGTGCAGGTGGGAGGTGCAGGGGAGAGTGCAGGGGGAGGGTGCAGGGGGAGAATAGTGCATGGGGAGTGGTGCAGGGAAGGGTGCAGGGGGAGTAGTGCAGGGGGAGGGTGCAGGGGGAGTAGTGCAGGGGGAGGGTGCAGGGGAGGGTGCAGGGGGAGGGTGCAGGGGAGGATAGGGGGAGGAGGAGAGGGTGCAGGGGAGGGTGCAGGGGGAGATATGCAGGGGGAGGGTGCAGGGGGTAGGGGATGCAGGGGGAGGTGCAGGGGGAGGGTGCAGGGGAGAGTGCAGGGGAGAGTGCAGGGGAGAGTGCAGGGGGAGGGTGCAGGGGGGGCATGAAGTGCAGGGGGGGCAGGGTGCAGGGGGAGAGGTGCAGGGGAGAGTGCAGGGGGAGAGTGCAGGGGGAGAGTGCAGGAACAGAGTGCAGGGGGAGAGTGCAGGGGGGGAGGGGGGTGAGGGGAAGAGTGCAGGGGGGAGGATGCAGGGGGAGAGTGCAGGGGGAGGTGCAGGGGGGAGGGTGAGCAGGGGAGGTGCAGGGGGAGAGTGCAGGGGGAGGGTGCAGGGGGAGGTCCAGGGGGGAGGAGTGCAGGGGAGAGTGCAGGGGAGAGTGCAGGGGGGAGGAGTGCAGGGGGAGAGTGCAGGGGGAGGGTGCAGGGGGAAGGGATGCAGGGGAGAGTGCAGGGGGAGGGTGCAGGGAGGTGAGATGTGCAGGGGGAAGTGCAGGGGAGAGGTGCAGGGGAGGGGGGGGAGAGTGCAGGGGAGAGTGCAGGGGGAGAGTGCAGAGGGAGATGCAGGGGAGGAGGGTGCAGGGGGAGAGTGCAGGGGGAGATTGCAGGGGGAGGGTGCAGGGGAGGGTGCAGGGGAGCAGGGAGGTGCAGGGGGAGAGTGCAGGGGGAGGAGTGCAGGGGGAGGTGCAGGAGGAGGGTGCAGGGGAGAGTGCAGGGGAGAGTGCAGGGGAGGGTGAGGGCAGGGGGAGGTGCAGGGGGAGAGTGCAGGGGGAGGGTGCAGGGGGAGGGTGCAGAGGAGAGTGCAGGGGGAGAGTGCAGGGGGAGGGGCAGGAGGAGGTGCAGGGGGAGAGTGCAGGGGAGGGATGCAGGGGAGAGTGCAGGGGGAGGGTGCATGGGGGAGAGTTGCAGGGGGAGAGTGCAGGGGAGGGTGCAGGGGGAGGGTGCAGGGGGAGGTGCAGGGGAGAGGTGCAGGGGGAGGGTGCAGGGGGAGGGTGCAGGGGTGGGAGGGTGCAGGGGAGAGTGCAGGGGGAGAGTGCAGGGGGAGAGTGCGGGGGGAGGGTGCAGGGGGAGTGCAGGGGAGTGCAGGGGGAGAGTGCAGGGGGAGGGTGCAGGGGGAGAAGTGCAGGGGGAGGTGCAGGGGAGAGTGCAGGGGGAGGGTGCAGGGGAAGAGTGCAGGGGGGAGGGTGCAGGGGGAGAGTGCAGAGGGGAGGGTGGGTGCAGGGGAGGAGGTGGCAGTGGGAGAGTGCAGGGGAAGAGTGCAGGGGGAGGTGCAGGGGGAGAGTGCAGGGGAGAGTGCAGGGGGAGAGTGCAGGGGAGGGAGGAGTGCAGGGAAGAGTGCAGGGGAGAGGAGTGCAGGGGAAGAGTGCAGGGGGAGAGTGCAGGGGAGAGTGCAGGGGAGAGTGCAGAGGGAGAGTGCAGGGGGAGAGTGCAGGGAGGGAAGGGAGAGTGCAGGGGGAGATTGCAGGGAGAGTGCAGAGGGAAGAGTGCAGGGGGGAGGGAAGTGCAGGGGGAAGAGTGCAGGGGGAGAGTGTGCAGGTGGAGAGTGCAGGTGGAGAGTGCAGGTGGAGAGTGCAGGGGAGAGTGCAGGTGGAGAGTGCAGGGGGAGGTGCAGGGGAGAGTGCAGGGGAGAGTGCAGGGGGTGAGGAGAGTGCAGGGGAAGAGTGCAGGGGAGAGTGCAGGGGAGAGTGCAGGGGAGAGTGCAGGGGAGTGAGGGGAGTGCAGGGGGAGAGTGTAGGTGGGGAGAGTGTAGGGGGAGAGTGCAGGGGGAGAGTGCAGGGGGAGAGTGCAGGGGAGAGTCCAGGGGAGAGTGCAGGGGAGAGTGCAGGGGGAGAGTGCAGGGGAGAGTGCAGGGGGAGAGTGCAGGGGGAGAGTGCAGGGGAAGAGTGCATGGGAGAGTGCAGATGCGGCAGTAACCACCAAGTTTCGTACTCAAGGATTTAAGTTATAATGTCAAAAACCAGGAGATTTTTGATCTTAACTCTACATTATATATAAAATAAGCCGACCCATTTATAAATAAAAATGCACCGCCATATTGTATGTAAAATATTGACATTAAAAATCATCTGACCTTTTTCGTCCTCACATTTTGGTCAGTTTGTCTGAAAATATGTTTTTGAACAATTTAATAGACTGTTGATCCTAGTTAGGTAGACCCAGGGGAGGATGGTAGACCCAGGGGAGGATGGTAGACCCAGGGGAGGATGGTAGACCCAGGGGAGGATGGTAGACCAAAAAAAAAAATAATCCTATTGTTTTGATTCAGTGGCAGACGCGTCATTCTCCTCCTTGTGTTCATTTATGGACGATATTTTTAAAATAGGTTTTGTAATGTGTTTTATATGAATAGGCATTACTTTTATCCCCAAAACTACTGTCAGATACTAGTATTATTGTAGGGGTTGGTCTGGGGGGGGGGGAGTGTCTGGAATGGTAGTTACATGGTGAATGTTACTGTAGTTCGTCACCTGGGCTCTCAGGTCTTGAGCAGCGCTGTATACCCCTTGTGGTTTAGCGCTTTTTTATTATTATAATAATAATCTCAGGTCTTGAATTAAAGCCGGTCAACAATTTTTCCATGTTAACATTAGCATTTCCATCTTTTAACAGAAAACAGAAGGAATATTTGGGAATTAAACAGAAAGGTTTATACGTCCTATTTTTCCACTGAAAAATTTTGACTTGTTATATGATTAATATTCTATATTAACAATAAGAGACATTTAAGGAAATAATTCATATATACTTGTATGTGTCTCTACAACAGTAACTCAAAGTGATAAAGTTTTACACAATTAGTCAGTACCAAATGCTGAAATATAACATTTATGATGACAAGTCACACTGTCTACCTCATCATATATGTTTATTGTTATTTGCTTTAAAAATATTAATGGTATATATTGGTGCCATATCGACCGCCACAGAAACACAGTTGGATACACCATAACGTGACCCAAACATCTTCATCTTCCGGTGTAGTTGACTGTCTTATAGTTGACTGTCTTATAGTTGACTGTGTTACAGTTGACTGTCTTATAGTTGACTGTCTTATAGTTAAATGTCTTATAGTTGACTGTCTTATAGTTGTCTTATAGTTGACTGTCTTATAGTTGACTGTCTTATAGTTGACTGTCTTATAGTTGACTGTCTTATAGTTGACTGTCTTATAGTTGTCTTATAGTTAACTGTCTTATAGTTGTCTTATAGTTGACTGTCTTATAGTTGTCTTACAGTTGACTGTCTTACAGCTGCACTTGACTGATTTATGACAGATTTTAAGAAGGGAATCCCCGTGTGATGAAGGCGACACATGTGCAGCACTTGGGTATATTTACTGTGGAAACGTTTTTGCCAGATACTGGTTTTTTTCAGTCTTATAAACAGAAGAGTGGGGGAAAACCAGAAGGAGTTTGAGGTAATCAGTCCCTCAGCCTGGAGTCGATGTGATCAGTTCATCAGTCTTGATAGAAGTCTCATGACTGATGGACTGAACACATCGACTCCAGGCTGAGGGGCTAATTACCTCAAGCTCCTTCTGGTCTTCCACCATTCTCCTCTGTACTGGACTGAAGAAGCCACTGGCTGGTGAAACGTTTCCACAATAAAGACACCCAAGTGTTGCACAAGCATCTCCTTCATAAACTTGTCGGTTGTCTGAACTACTGATATCACTACAACTCCCCGTCTCAGGCCTCCAGCGCCCCACCTCCCTCATTGATCGTTAACACATTATAATATTCAAGAACTATGACTACAAATACATGGAAGAAGAAGTTAACCATTACAGTGATATAATTCCAACTACATGAGTCATCATTTTGAAGACTGTATTTGTTTAACTTTGAAACCTGTGAACCCTCTCAATTATTTTTGTCTCTCTTACAAATAAAATTCTGTCACTGGTATCAAATGCATAATCATCAAAAAAAAAAAAAAACACTAGTGTTTGATGAATTACATTCATGATGATTTAAGAGAATATCTTACATATACGTCACACGAATGGATAAGTGATTCACACTGAGCAGTGAAGCATTAAGAATTAACTTCCTTTTAACATCACGGTAAACTAAGTTTATTTTCTGCCACATATTTATAAGTCAACATCTTTCTGCCTCCCTTCATGCTGTTTCTGACGCTGCTGGCCCTAGCAAAGGTTGCTCTCAGTTTCTGTGAGTCTTGTATCTGGATGGAGGAGTCCCTGGGCTCCCAGCGCTCACTCAGCACCTTCAGGAAGTCCACCGCTATCTTGTCCAGGGCGCGGCTCTTCAGCGCCTCCAGCGGCTTATACGCTGTAAGAATAAAAGCAAACTGTATATCATACAATGTGGATATCAATATTATTCAACATTGCTACAAGAAGTTAGGAAGAAGGAAGGAACATCTAACTAGTTACTCCTCTATCACAGACGCGTCTTGTCACAGACACAGTCGCTCATACAGCGACAACCATGTAACTCCTCGATTGCCCCAGAATGAAATTATATATTTGTTATGTTTTTTTAAATACGTGAAACATTTAAAAATCAAGAAAAATGTGCTAAAATATCATTTTATTACATTTTACTCTTTAGAGCGGTTTGAAGCATTTGCTGACTTTCCTCATTTTGTAGAGTGTATTAATGAAATCTGTTGATGATTTTAGAATATAAATTTCACCACAATATTAATATTTCCCAGGTGTCGAGGTGCGTAAGGCAGCAAATTTTCACTCTTCTCTCTTATATTTTACAAAGGCAAAATTTTGTGTAAAACAAATATGTTGTAAAAGTTTCATTCTGAGGCAGACCATCTGTGTACTGCACTAATGTTTGGTTATTTCTCCCTTTTTAACACTGAATGGAAATTTTGCTTAATTATATAGTGATAATTATAAATTTAATGTGTGGAATCTCTTAAGGAACGCTCAAGAGAACTAATTTTAAACCAACCAGTACGAAGCCTTGTGTTTATTACTCCACAATGTAATCAAAATCTTTGGAATATCTATGTATGATTATTTAGAAGCTAACAAATGTACTTTTGTATGGTTATACATCCCAAGAAACTGTAAAGATACTCAGGAAAGACAAAAAATCAAGTCACTGATATGCAACTTGGTCAGTTACGTTGCCATTTTTAAGAGATGATCAGAAAGTTCTGCAGTTTGCTATATACAGGTAGCCAAGATCTAATTAAGAATATATCTTGACCATTTTGTTCGATAATAATCTTCCCTTTAAAAGGAACCAATGAGCTACGAGTCCCTCAGTTGGTGAGAATACAAATGGAAGCAAACAGTGTGATATACATAAGTGAGAGAGGTTGGATTTGAGTGGGACTTGCGCACGAGTCAATAGAATTATCCAAGCTCATTTATTCCTTTTGTAGCAATGAAAATGGGTTGGACAAATATTTTTGTTATTGACTTTGGGTTTGAGAAGAATTTGCCCAGTATGGGTCAGTATGTATGCTGCAGTGTCCCACCTTCCTATGTTCAGATATGCAATAGCAAGGAACTTACATGTTAGTTTCCAGGGTCTGGTTAGGGGTACACGTAGGTGCTGAATACTGAGGACACTAGCCTCAGGGATGCGAGGCAGTTCAGAGAGTGGAAACACAGCCTCACAATGTACAACACTACTGCCTAGTAATCTTGGAGTCCGTAGCTGTAGTGTCAGCACCCCGCCTTGCTCGCCTCCCAGGTGGTCTTGAAGCACACTCGGGCTACAACAATTCGTAGTAATAATACGTATCCTAATTATTATTATTATTATTATTATTATTATTATTATTCACAAAGTAGCTGCAAATATGCGAAGTACAAATTAATTTATAAAACATAAGAAAAAATGAATCAAGGGAGATTATTTCTATACACTCACCACCTCAAATCATTCACAAACTTGCAGACATCAAACATAAGCACAATATAACTCCTACATTTATAGAAACATAAGATTATCGCCATACTTACAATCTAAATATCTCATTAAAAACTGCAGGGTCGCCCTTAGCTAGGTGTGTCTTGCAGGGATCAGCCAGAGGGAACCATTCCTGTGGCTCCACCCTGATTTTGACCAGCACGCCCCCTGCCTGCTCCCCTGGTCCCTGCACTACATGTACTCGCAACCCTGTCTCTGTGAACGCTGCCTTCAACACATGAAAGATAAAAGCAAATATTAAATACAGCGTACGCCAGTAATATTAAAAATTGTCATTCTTGCCTCACTTGATCTCTGCTGCTGTAATGATTGGTTGAGAAAGACACGTTAGCAAACACTGGAACATATTAGAAAACGTTTAGGTTCTGTGACTTGATCACTTCTGACACACAGAGATTAAAATGACAGTATATACAGGAGAGTGGGGTGTGAGTGACACATAATGACCTGAAAATTCCCATATTTGAGATGAAGACAGTAGACAATGAAGTGAACAAGGTCACAGGACCGAAACGTTTTCTAGTAAATATGTTCTAATATTTGTTCACGTGTCTTTTTGAACCAATTTGTATGTATTAATTACCAAGGTTCATACTATGCTGTAATGAAGCAATCTACCTGCATTTTAAATTACTTGTACAATATTTTGTTAATCATGGTATAACATTATAAGCCAAGGGTTGTCTATGTTAGGTATCGACTAATTCTGGTGTTTGTTGTAATCGCTCTAGACCCTGACACCTGGGCTGCCCTGTCTAGCTGCCAGGGCTGCCCTCCACTGCTCTGGCATGAGATTTTTGATGCAGTCAATATAACTCATTGACTGAAAAGGGTCGCCACTCTGAGCTGTTGCCCAAGAGTATTCATAACACTGCCACACGCACAAACATATATTGTAACCTATTACATCTTGGGATTGATTTAATTCTGATAGGATATTTGTGAAATTACTCTAAGTCAGGATGGTCTATGCATGTTCTCTGTAGGCCTAGTTCATGTGCTAATAAGCTTCACATCTTTATTCTTGTGTGGAACTTGGTTAACTTGATTAACTTACATTTAGGAAACAGATTAATAGACTCAGAATCTGGAGTTAATTCACCTATATTCTTGATTGTGACGTATATTGTTTATCATGCGCACTGTAAATGAATTTATACAAGATTTTTTTTTATAGAAATAAAGCTAGGCTAATAATGCACTTATTAAGTACCCCCGAAGATGGGCCTTGAAGTGCGTGCTTCATTTTTTTCTTCTACCAACGTTTCCATTTTCTTGCTCGTTAATCGAGAACTCATTTAATTAAATTCAACTTTTGAATATATGTGTATGGTAACGAGGACCAGATTCTAGGAACAATTGGCTTGTAGAGGTACCCTATGACCATAGTTATTGACCATAGTCGCAGCATTCTGGAATAGCTTAGATAACTTCGAAAACCCTCAGTGATATACCTTCAAACATTAAAAAAAAAAATGCCTCTTAATTTATCATTCAAGAAGTTATCATATTGCGTACATATGGTGTGCTGAAATGTGTTTGTATTCTGTATACACATGTAGATTACATGGGGATTAGAGGTGGCTTATTTGTCAGGAAACAACTGTCCCCTGACACAGGTCTTGATCAAATGTTGACCTGACACAGACTAAACTTCCGCTGGCGTACCCCAGCAAAGTTTTATTCTACGTTTAGAAAGAAAAACGAAGGGATCACTACATGGTAGTGTGCCATAAGGTAAGATAATAACCGTACGGGTCTCCTCGACTAACAACCATCTTCTACATGTATTATTGTAGCCACGAACAAGTGGTATTTAATTAATAACAAACTGCGGCTAGCCGGGGATCGACCCCGTGTTGTTTTAGCCCGCCTAGTGGGAAGAGCGAAAATTCGGGCTAAAACAACACGGGTTCGATTCCCCGGCTAGCCGCAGTCTGTCATTGATTATATATATATATACATGTATATATATATATATATATATATATATATATATATATAATATATATATATATATATATATATATATATATATATATATGTGTGTGTGTGTGTGTGTGTGTGTGTGTGTACTCACCTAGCTGAGGTTGCAGGGGTCGAGTCTAAGCTCCTGGCCCCGCCTCTTCACTGGTTGCTACTAGGTCACTCTCCCTGAACAGTGAGCTTTATCATACCTCTGCTTAAAGCTATGAATGGATCCTGCCTCCACTACATCGCTTCCCAAACTATTCCACTTCCTGACTGCTCTGTGACTGAAGAAATACGTCCTAACATCCCTGTGATTCATCTGTGTCTTCAACTTCCATCTTGTGTGTGTGTGTGTGTCGTATCGAATAGGTAATATTTGCAATTTTGGCTTAAATAGCAGCGCTCTTTTTGCCGAATAAGGCAAGTGAAAATTTGTGTATGCAATAATTTCGCAAAAAATCATTCTGAACCTAATGAAAAAAAATTATATTTCAATGTGTTTATTTTTTATTAAATTATTGTAAATTTATCTAAAATATATTTAGTTGGATTAGGCTAAATTAAATTGCGCTTGTTATAATAAGGTTAGGTAAGTTTTCTAAGGTTCTTTTGGTACAAAATTATTAATTTTTACATTAACATAAATGAAAAAATATATCTTTTAAACATACAAGACAAAATTTTGGAAAGGACTTAATTTTAAATGAGTTCTTGTTAATTGACCAATTTACCTATTCGGCAAGATATATATATATATATATATATATATATATATATATATATATATATAAACACTGATCTCTGGCTGAAGGAGACTCGAACCTACGAACCTTGGAACAAGGTACACAGTGCCTTACCATTCTCACCACACTGGACCAATACCTTGGCGTCCAGCTTGCGCTAGACGTTGAACCAAGGCAGCCAGCTTTCAGGGAGAAGGCTTACAGCTTTTCATCTCATCTCCTGCATGCATCAGCCTTACTAGAGATTTTAACAATGCAAGGAATTTGCAAGAGCAGGCGAAATATACACAAACACTGATCTCTGGCTGAAGGAGCCTCGAACCTACGAACCTTTTAACAAATTCAAATTCAAATTCAAAGTTTATTCTCTATAAAGATTACAATGTTGAATTTACAGAATTTGGTTGTTGTGTGGTTTACATGTAGATAAATAATGATTACAGAGTGTACCACTAGAACGCCTAGCATGGCTAGGCATTTCGGGCAGACTTAGTTTAATTTTAAAATATTACAAATTATGAGGTAAGTTGGTATTATGGCTAAGTGACTAAATACTAGTTTGTGAATTTAGCAATGTGAATGCTTTTGTTTTGGCACAGTACATAGTTTCAGTATTGGAGTATCATAGGATTCATTATTTTAAGATTGAGATTAATATTTCTGTTTATGGTCAAATGGGTGAGTGTGTAAGTGTGAACCACCAGGTGGTATTCGTGTAGTTAGTTGATAGGGTTTATCAGGGAGATAAGATGTTTTCTAATGGTAGTTTTGAAGGTGATGAATGTGTCTGCAGTTCTAGAGTTCTCAGGTAGGGTGTTCCAGATTTTTGGGCCTTTGACATACATTGAATTTTTGTGAAGGTTTAGTCGGACATGGGAATGTCGTAGAGATGTTTGTGTCTGGTGTTATGCCTGTGGGTTCTGTCACAACTATCAAGAAAGCGTTTTAGGTCAAGGTTGATATTGGAGTTTAAGGTCCTGTAGATGTAGATTGCACAGTAGTAAGTGTGGATGTACTGAACAGGGAGTAAGTTTAGATCTATGAAGAGTGGGGGGGGGTGTTGCCAGGGATGGGATTTAGTGATTATTCTTACTGCAGCTTTTTGTTGGGTTATTATTGGCTTTAGGTGTGTTGCTGCAGTTGATCCCAAAGCACAAATAGCATAGGTGAGGTATGGATAAATAAGTGAGTGGTATAGTGTGAGAAGGGCATTTCGCGGTACGTAGTATCGTATCTTGGAGAGGATCCCAACTGTTTTGGATACTTTTTTGGTTATGTGTTGGATATGGGTGCTGAAATTCAGGGTGTTGTCAAGGTATAGGCCTAGAAATTTGCCCTCATTATGTCTGGTAATTAGAGTGTTGTCGATCTTAATGTTAATTTGTGCATCTCCTGCTCTGCTACCAAACATAATATAGTAGGTTTTGTCAGTGTTAAGCGTAAGTTTATTGGCTCTCATCCAAGTCGATATTTTGATCAGCTCCTCGTTAACAATGGTGTTGAGGGTGGCAAGATTAGGGTGAGAGATGACATAAGTCGTGCCCGTCAGCAAAGAGAATGGTTTCAGGTGTTGGGATACGTTTGGAAGATCATTGATGTATATGAGGAAGAGCAGGGACCAAGGACACTTCCCGCGGAACTCCAGTATCAAGTGGCCATATTGTTGATGCTGTGTCTTTATGGTAACATACTGATACCTATTAGTAAGGTAAGATTTGAAATAAGCAAGCGCATGGCCTCTTATACCGTAATGGTCAAGTTTGTGGAATAGGATGTCGTGGTCTACTGTGTCAAAAGCTTTTCTTAGGTCAATAAAAATTCCTAGTGGATATTCCTTATTTTCCAATGCTGTGTAAAGCAGATCTAGCATTTTTTATGATTGCATCATTAGTGCTTTTATTTTTCCTAAATCCAAATTGGCAGGGGTTGAGTATGTTTTGTGCTGTTTTTAAATGAATATAGTCTCCTGTGCACGAGTTTCTCAAAGATTTTGGATAGCAATGGTAAGTTTGATATTGGCCTATAGTTGTTTAAGTCTGTAGGGTCACCACCTTTATGTATTGGTGTAACCCTTGCCATCTTGAGTAGTTTCGGGAAGGTGCTAGTTTCTAGTGACTTGTTAAAAAGTAATGAAATAGCATGCGAAAGGATATGGGCCACTCGCTTGTACAGTAATGGTGGGACATTAGACAGATTCCCTGAGTTGTTTTTAAGTGACTTTATAATCTCGGTGACTTCCGAGGGCTCAGTTGGTGCAAGATAGAAGGAATTTGGGAAATTCCCATCTAGGTAGTCCCCGGCATGGGCATTAGTATGTGGGATTTTATTGGTGAGATTAGATCCTATGGTTTAGAAGAAGTCGTTTATCTTGTTAGCTGTGTCAGTGGGATGTAGTGGTGTTTCATTAGGTTTAGTTAGGACAATATTCTTGGTTTTTTTCAGTTTGTGGGTCCCTAGAATCTGAGAGAGTGTTTTCCAGATCTTTTTTATATCTCCTCTAGTGTCTGTGAATCTACTGGAGTAGTATAGTTGTTTGGCTTTCTTTATTACTTTGGTGAGAACCAATACCTCACCCCCCACCATGGAAGACCCAAATACCTCACCCACCCCACCATGGAAGATCCAGCTACCTCACCCCCACCATAGAAGACCCAGCTACCTCACCCCCCCCCCGACCATGAAAGACCCAGCTACTTCACCCCCCGCCATGTGGTGAGAAGGATATAGCACTGCGTACCTTGTTCCAATGTTCGTAGGTTCGAGTCTCCTTCAGCCATATATATATATATATATATATATATATATATAATATATATATATATATATATATATATATATAATATGTTGTGTGTGTGTGTGTGTGTGTGTGTGTGTGTGTGTGTGTGTGTGTGTGTGTGTATGTATGTATGTATACTGGCTTGACACGGTCTCTGGTAACCGAAACGTTGTCTTAATATTTGTTTCGTTATGTAGCTTATATATCCATTTACCGAACTATTATCGGTATTACTACCAATAATTACAGAGTAAAGTTATAATTAAGAAGACACGGTGGTGATGTTGACATCTTGATGCTAACATTAACATACATGGGAATATAGGAAGAGAGAAGCACTGTTGTTCTGTGTTAATACAGACTCGTGGTAGATCAGTTAGTGTTGCTGGTAACAAGGGTGACTACAAAAATTTTAATACTTACATTAAGAACAAGAGTACGAGAAGCACTGGGACCCTCTTTAAGCTGCTCTTGGTACCGTTCATGGTAAAATTGGGAGACAAGTTCTGGCGAAGTGGCTCCTAGAATCTTCAACTCTTCTTGCAACGACTCATATTCTGTGGTATACCTGCTCGTTAATGCGAATATCTAATCAGCAACTCATGTGGCAGCACCTCAGTGCCTAAAAGCATTCAGAGTGCAGACATGGTTAAGAGGTTCAGTTATTATTTAGACCTGACATCAGCATGGAAAGAGACGGCAGTTCTGTAAGTAAAAACGCCTTGTTAGTAAAAGAGATCAGAGAAGAATCGCCTGACTGGTTTAAACTGACAGGAAGGTAACAGTAAATTAAATATTAATGCATTACAACAATGGTATGTAGAAGAGCATCTATGAACGCACAACCCGTCAAACTTTGAAGTGGATGGAGTGCAGCAGCAGAAGAAAAACCACACTGGGTTCTACCCCTTTTCAGCTAGGAGCAGGAAACTGTGGTTACAGTGGGCACAGGCTCACCAAAACAGGACAGTTGAAGATTAAAAAAAAATTCACCTGATCTGAGAAATCGTGGTTTCTGCTGCGACGTGCAGATGGTAGGGTCAGAATTTGGTGTAAACTTCTGGGATGTGGTGGAACGGGAGATCTATACCATATATGTGCAGCCAACAAATCTGCAGCAACTGCGTGATACTATCATGTCAACATGTACCAGGATCTCTAAGGAATCACGATACAGGTGGGGATGGAACTCACGGCGTGTGACTCTTAAAACTCCAGACCGACGCGTTAGCCACTGGGCCAGCTGGCTACAATAAGAGTCATCCAACTAGATAAATTTATACACCATAGGAAGGTTAGCATAGGCATGTTATGGTGTATAAATATACCTAGTTCGATAAACCTTATTGTAGCCAGTTGGCCCAGTGGCTAACGCGTCGGTCTGGAGTTTTACGACTCACTAGCCGCAAGTTCAATCCCACCCGTACTGTGGCTTGATGCAATCATGTCATTACGATTTCGTGAGTCATGTTTAAGGAATGTTTCCAGCACCTTGCTGAATCCATGCCACGAAGAATTCAGGCTGTTCTGGGGGCAAAGGGCAGCCCTACCCAATAATGAGTGTATATACATAATTTGTGTGTGTGTGTGTGTGTGTGTGTGTGTGTGTGTGTGTGTGTGTGTGTGTGTGTGTGTGTGTGTGTGTGTGTGTGTGTGTGTGTGTGTGTGTGTGTGTGCGCGTGCATGTGCCAGCCAAAGATTTCAAACCAAACATCTTACCTTTTACTAAGGCGGAGAGAAAGAGACGCACTGATGACATAGACCACTAGAGGCAACAGACACCACACAGCTTTGGGAGGCCAGCAGATGCTTGCACATGTTTAACAAAACCAGGGAGACCACTCCCATGCTCCTATTTCATCATTATCCACGTTCATGCTGGCCAACACAAGCGATATTTATTATGCTTACAGTATGCGAAAATAAGCGAAATTAGTTATATAAGCAAATACCTCCGGGCAGCCGAGAATCAGAACCCAACTACCTCACCCCCCCACCATGGAAGACCCAGCTACCTCACCCCCCGCCATGGAAGACCCAACTACCTCACCCCCCACCATGGAAGACCCAGCTACCTCACCCACCACCATGAAAGACCCAGCTACCTCACCCACCGCCATGGAAGACCCAACTACCTAACCCCCACCATGGAAGACCCAGCTACCTCACACTCCACCGTAGAAGACCCAGCTACCTCACCCCCCCACCATGAAAGACCCAACTACCTCACCCTCCACCGTAGAAGACCCAGCTACCTCACACTCCACCGTAGAAGACCCAGCTACCTCACCCTCCACCATAGAAGACCCAGGTACCTCACCCCCACCATGGAAGACCCAGGTACCTCACACTCCACCGTAAAGACCCAGCTACCTCACCCTCCACTGTAGGAGACGCAGCTACCTCACCCTCCACCGTAGGAGACCCAGCTACATCACCCTCCACCGTAGAAGACCCAGCTACCTCACCCTCCACCGTAGAAGACCCAGCTACCTCACCCTCCACAGTAGAAGACCCAGCTACCTCACCCCCCGCCATGGAAGACCCAACTACCTCACCCCCCCACCATGGAAGACCCAGCTACCTCACCCACCACCATGAAAGACCCAGCTACCTCATCCACCGCCATGGAAGACCCAACTACCTAACCCCCACCATGGAAGACCCAGCTACCTCACACTCCACCGTAGAAGACCCAGCTACCTCACCCCCCACCATGAAAGACCCAACTACCTCACCCTCCACCGTAGAAGACCCAGCTACCTCACACTCCACCGTAGAAGACCCAGCTACCTCACCCTCCACCATAGAAGACCCAGGTACCTCACCCCCACCATGGAAGACCCAGGTACCTCACACTCCACCGTAAAGACCCAGCTACCTCACCCTCCACTGTAGGAGACGCAGCTACCTCACCCTCCACTGTAGGAGACCCAGCTACATCACCCTCCACCGTAGAAGACCCAGCTACCTCACCCTCCACAGTAGAAGACCCAGCTACCTCACCCTCCACCGCAGGAGACCCAGCTACCTCACCCTCCACCGTTGAAGACCCAGCTACATCACCCTCCACCGTAGAAGACCCAGCTACCTCACCCTCCACCGTAGAAGACCCAGCTACATCACCCTCCACCGTAGAACACCCAGCTACCTCACCCTCCACCGTAGAAGACCCAGCTACATCACCCTCCACCGTAGAAGACCTGTCAGCATAGTTGCTGATCCCCTTATATGTGTTGTATAGCGTATCATAGTACCATCCATGTGCTTTATATAGAAGATCCCTAGGCCGAGTGACTGTATGACGTCACAGGATACAGCATGAGTCAGTGAGACAAGCTGCCTCTCTCTCACTCGACGCATAGGCATAGAAGAAGGCAGAACACGGCAGGCTGGGCTCCATCTCCCATTACCACAGTCTGACAATATAGCGTTACCATCCAACAAGTGAGTTTACCTTATCCATCAATCTCCTACCAAACCCCACACGACAGGCCCAGCTACCTCACCCTCCACCGCAGGAGACCCAGCCACCTCACCCTCCACCGTAGAAGACCCAGCTACCTCACCCTCCACCGTAGAAGACCCAGGTACATCACCCTCCACCGTAGAAGACCCAGCTACATCACCCTCCACCGTAGAAGACCCAGCTACCTCACCCTCCACCGTAGGAGACCCAGCTACATCACCCTCCACCGTAGAAGACCCAGGTACATCACCCTCCACCGTAGAAGACCCAGCTACATCACCCTCCACCGTAGAAGACCCAGCTACCTCACCCTCCACAGTAGAAGACCTAGCTACATCACCCTCCACCGTAGAAGACCCAGCTACCTCACCCTCCACCGTAGGAGACCCAGCTACATCACCCTCCACCGTAGAAGACCCAGCTACATCACCCTCCACTGTAGAAGACCCAGCTACATCACCCTCCACTGTAGAAGACCCAGCTACATCACCCTCCACCGTAGAAGACCCAGCTACCTCACCCTCCACCGTAGGAGACCCAGCTACATCACCCTCCACCGTAGAAGACCCAGCTACCTCACCCTCCACCGCAGAAGACCCAGCTACATCACCTTCCACTGTAGAAGACCCAGCTACATCACCCTCCACTGTAGAAGACCCAGCTACATCACCCTCCACCGTAGGAGACCCAGCTACATCACCCTCCACCGTAGAAGACCCAGCTACCTCACCTTCCACCGTAGGAGACCCAGCTACATCACCCTCCACCGTAGAAGACCCAGCTACATCACCCTCCACTGTAGAAGACCCAGCTACATCACCCTCCACTGTAGAAGACCCAGCTACATCACCCTCCACCGTAGAAGACCCAGCTACCTCACCCTCCACCGTAGGAGACCCAGCTACATCACCCTCCACCGTAGAAGACCCAGCTACCTCACCCTCCACCGCAGAAGACCCAGCTACATCACCCTCCACCGTAGAAGACCCAGCTACATCACCTTCCACTGTAGAAGACCCAGCTACATCACCCTCCACTGTAGAAGACCCAGCTACATCACCCTCCACCGTAGGAGACCCAGCTACATCACCCTCCACCGTAGAAGACCCAGCTACCTCACCTTCCACCGTAGGAGACCCAGCTACATCACCCTCCACCGTAGAAGACCCAGCTACATCACCCTCCACTGTAGGAGACCCAGCTACATCACCCTCCACCGTAGAAGACCCAGCTACCTCACCTTCCACCGTAGGAGACCCAGCTACATCACCCTCCACCGTAGAAGACCCAGCTACCTCACCTTCCACCGTAGGAGACCCAGCTACATCACCCTCCACCGTAGAAGACCCAGCTACATCACCCTCCACTGTAGAAGACCCAGCTACATCACCCTCCACTGTGGAAGAGAATGAAATAGCTACGACATTCTTGTAGCTGCTGATGTGGCAAGTGGTAATAATGATAACCAAAATTTTTAAAGGGGTGGACCAGTAAGCTAGCGGAAGGCCTCGGTCTGATGACCAAAAGCTCCAGCTGTGGATCGTCATATGACTAAGACCCGCGACAGTCAACACTTGTCCTGTTTCCTGACAAACCTAACTCCTACCTTGTAGCTGCTGGTATAACTAACTTTGGAAAACATTCTCTGGCTTCTGCTGACTACGAATAGAATTTGTAATTAATGGCAGCTAAGCTCTTTTATTATATATGTAAATTTATAATGGTGTCCACACAAAAAAATAATAAAGAAAACATTTACACTATTTCTAATGTGTTCATTTTTTTCCATATTTTTTTAATTTTTACTGTGAGTGTTTTAATTAATATTTGAGGTGATCCTGAGTCTTTTAGTTAATGTAACATTGATATTTGTGCTGCTTATGAATATTTCTCACTTTTCGTTGGATTTAATAATCTGAGTTCCAGCTCCTGGCCCTCCTAAGAGTGTTGGTGTACAGCTGCTGGGCATTGTGAGAATGACAGCCAACATTGTGAGTATGTTGAGCTCAAGTTGCTGGGGCGCCTCTTGAAGGGGCGAGACTCTTCACATGGGAAGGGCAGGTACAAAAAAAAAAAACAATCGAGAAAATCGAGAAATGAGCTTAATTGTCCACTTATTGAGGAATACAGAGACAGACAGTATAATAACCTATGTGACATGTCAAGATATCTTATTAATGAAAATAAGATACAAGATATACTAAGCAAATTTCCTAAATTTGCTTGTAACAGATAAGTGAACTGTACATATAAATCCAAATGTACACCTGTAATCCTATTGGGGCCTAGTTCCTGGGGCTTTTGTGTATCCATATGCTCTTGCGCTACCGTCCACAGGGTGGATATGGGGCGCACAATAAACTAGCCACTTCGGTGGCAAAATCTAAATCTAATCTCTAAAAAAAATTGCTTCCAAGTAAAATAACCTATTTATTCACCAATCTCCATTAATAATGAACGGATTGAAATGGAAATAAGCCACTTTTCAGATTTTTGGAGAGTTATCTTAGGTATACCTAGAGTAAGTAACTTTATTTAGGCACAAGTACACATGTGATGAATGGTTTAAAAAACCGACAAGTTGAAGATTGAGACACTTATGCAGCATATGGGAATCTTTATTCAGGAAACGTTTCGCCACGCAGTGGCTTCATCAGTCCAATACAAAGAGGAAGGCGTAAGTTGAGGGACTGATTACCTCATTCTCCTCCTCTCCTTACGCCTTCCTCTTTGTATTGGACTGATGAAGCCACTGCGTGGCGAAACGTTTCCTGAATAAAGATTCCCATATGCTGCATAAGTGTCTCAATCTTCAACAAGTACACATAACTACAACTATCATACACAGTAACATAAGTGTAACTGACCTGGGATAACTCCAAAAAGTCAAACAAAGTGATTTATTTCCATTGAAGTATGTTCTCTTTAGGCTGGAATATTGTTGTACACTAACTGCCCCTTTCAAGGCAGGCAAAATTGCTGACCTGGAGAATGTACAGAGAACTTTCACTGCACGTATAAATACGATAAAGCATCTAAATTACTGGGAAGTTCCTTGATTTGTAATCCCTGGAACGCCAGCGAGAATAATAATAATAATAATAATAATAATAATAATAATAATAATAATAATAATAATAATAATAATAATAATAATAATATCTTTAGTTCGGGCAAATTAGGTCAATTTGGTCCCAGGATGCGACCCACACCAGTCGACTAACACTCAGGTACCCATTTTACTGATGGGTTAACATGGACAACATGTGTAAGGAAACATGATCAATATTTCCGTCCTTGGCAGAAATCGACCTGAACCCTCATCGTGTGAAGTGAGAGCTTGTCAACCAGGCCACGAGCCACCTATTACTTAATAATATACACATGGAAAATCCTAGAGGGACTAGTCCCAAATTTGCACATAAAAATCACTCCTTACGAAAGCAAAAGACTCGGCAGGAGATGCAACATGCCTAGGAGACAACACAAGAAGTGTCAGGGACCCAAGACTGTTCAACTGCCTCCCACCATACACAAGGAGGATTATCAATAGACCCCTGGCTGTCTTCAAGAAGGCACTGGACAGGCACCTAAAGTCAGTACCTGACCAGCCGGGCTGTGGTTCCTACGTCGATCTGCGTGTGGCCAGCGATAACAGCCTGGTTGATCAGATCCTGATCCACCAGGAGGCCTGGTCACAGACCGGGCCGCGGGGACGTTGATCCCCGAAACACTCCCCAGGTATACCTGCAGGATGTTCCGGGGGTCAACGTCTCTGTGGCCCGGCACATGACCAGGCCTTGCGGTACTGTGGCTTACATTCTCTGTCTATGTCAGATATGAAGATGAGGAACAGGATGGGAACAAGTACTGTGCCTTGTAGAACAGAGCTTTTCACCGTAGCCGCCTCAAACTTTACTCTGTTTACTATTACTCTTTGTGTTATATTTGTTAGGAAGTTATAGATCCATCTACCCACTATTCCTGTTATTCCTTTATCACGCATTTTGTGCGCTATTACACTTGTCGAAGACTTCCGCCAAGTCTGAGTATGAAATTTTGTGTAACTGTATCAAAATGAATCTTTTACAGCATTTTCCCCCATGATAAAATCGGTTTAGCATTGTTTAATCAGCAGCGAGTGCCAAAAAAACTTTTGGTAGTGCCAGTAGGTGAGGAAAGTATGTCTGGATAATATGCCATTTCCAGTTTTCAGTATATATTTTTTATTCATTTGTTTGTTGGCATATTTTAATGAAACAAATATGAAGGGAAGTCATATACGCTTATTCAAAAAAAAAAAAAAAAAAAAAAAACGGACAAAAACAATAAAATAAATGGTATTGTCTCTTTAGTTGTTGACCTCCAGCTCCTGGAACTTTTATCAACATAATACGTATACCTTGTAGGTATATTATGTTGATACACGTCTAGAGATGGTGTGATGTTTGAAGACTTTGTGTAGTTTAAGAAACAAATTGAGGACAAACATTACAATCTTACCCTTATTGACCTCGGCCGGGAGCTGGAGTCCTACACCGTCTTGATTAGTGAGGAAGGTGTGTGTGTCAGCCAAGGCGCTCCTGAGTCGTCGTAGTTCCTCACGTCGGCTTCCCTGAACCAACAGTTATCGTCAGTATTCTCTCCACAGAGTTTTCTCAACATTTTGCAAGACATTAATGTTCTTTTATAGTTTAGTATGTTCCAATAATATACTTTAATAACAGAATGCATAACGGACATGTAGTAACATTTTGACGAATGATCCACTGTACATTCACTACATCAGAGAATGATCCACTTTACATTCACTACATCAGAATGTATGAGAAGGAAATAAGAAATTTTATTAATGTACAAAAATAAACATTAGAGTAATAATGCATAACCAGCTGTCAGATGTCAACCTCGCCAGCTGGGAACAGTGCCAAATGGAAAGAGTGCCAGCCTCTTCAAGTGGGAACTCTTGCCGTCATGTATTCGAATTAATATACTTGTTGAAGGTCTACATAGAGAAGTAAAGTATAACAGAACATTCACAACTGTAAACATTACTGATTTAAATCGTTTATAAACGAAGAGGTGATCTTGGTGGGTCAAAGCAGGAAAGTATTGATGAAAGTATAACATCCCTCAAGTACTGACCATGGAGTATGCTTGGGACAGTAGTCCCTCAAGTACTGACCATGGAGTATGCTTGGGACAGTAGTCCCTCAAGTACTGACCATGGAGTATGCTTGGGACAGTAGTCCCTCAAGTACTGACCATGGAGTATGCTTGGGACAGTAGTCCCTCAAGTACGACCATGGAGTATGTTTGGGGACAGTGTCCCCAAGTACGGGCAGGGGAGTATGTTTGGGGGGAATAGTCATCAAGTATGACCGGGGATAGCTTGGGACAGTAGTCCCTCAAGTACTGCCCATGGGTATTTTGGACAGTAGTCCCTAAAGTACTGACCTGAGTATGCGGGGCAGTAGTCCCTCAAGTATGATCATGGAGTATGTTGGGGAAATAGTACTAAAGTATGACCAGGAGTATGCTTGGGAGTAGCCCTCAAGTACGATCTGGACTTGCTTGGAAAAATATTTCATCAAGCAGACCATGGGTATGCGTGGGACAGTACCCCCTCAAGAAATGACTGGGTTGCTTGGAACAATAGTCACTAAAGTATGCCATGGAGTATGGTGGGCAGTAGTCCTCAAGTACTGATCATGGAGTATGCTTGGAACAATAGTCATAAGCACTGACATGGAGTATGCGTGGGACGATCCCTCAAGCAGGGACCATGGAGTATGCTTGAGACAAAGTAGTCCTCAAGTACTGTCATGGAGTATGCTTGGGACGTAGTCCCTCAAGCACTGCCCAGGGAGTATGTTGGGACAGTAGCCCCTCAACCCTGACCTGGAGTATGCCTGGAACAGTAGTCCCTCAAGTATGTTATGGAGTATGCGGGGGGACAGTGTCCCTCAAGCACTGACCATGGAGTAGCCTGGGAACATTTGCCCCTAAAGCACGACCATGGAGTATGTTTGGGAGAGTGTCCTCAAGATGACATGGGTATGCTTGGGACAGTATCCCTCAAGTACTGTCATGGAGTTGCTAGGAACAATAGTCCCTAAAGCATACCTGGAGTATGCTTGGGCCAGTAGTCCCCTCAAGTACTGACCATGGAGTTGCTTGGGGAATAGTCCTAAGTACTGACCATGGAGTAGCTTGGGACATTTGTCCCTAAAGTACTGCCATGGAGTATGCTTGGGACAGTGTCCTAAAGTATGACCTTGGAGTATGCTTGGGACGTAGTCCCTCAAGTACTGCCCATGGAGTACTTGGGACAGTAGCCCCTCAAGTTGTCATGGAATATGTTGGGACTAGTCATCAAGTACTGACCATGGAGTTGTTTGGGGGAAGTAGCCCCTCAAGTAGCCATGGAGTATGCTTGGACGTAGTCCCTCAAGTATGCCCATGGAGTATGCTTGGGGACAGTAGTCCCTCAAGTACTGATCATGGGTATGCTTGGGAAAATAGTCACTAAAAGTATGCCCATGGAGTATGTTTTGGGCAGTAGTCCCTCAAGTACTGATCATGGAGTATGCTTGGAACAATAGTCACTAAGCATGACCATGGAGTTGCGTGGGACAGTAGTCCCTCAAGCACTGCCCATGGGGTATGTTTGGGAACAATAGTACTCAAGTCTGACAGGGAGTTGCGTGGGACGTAGTCCTAAAGTATGACAGGGAGATGCTTGGAACAATAGATCAAGCATGACCATGGAGTAGCGGGGGACAGTAGTCCCTAAAAGCATGCCTGGGTAGCTTGAGACGTAGTCCCTCAAGTACTGTAAATGGATTTTGCTTGGGACAGTAGTCCCTCAAGCATGCCCCGGGAGTTGCTTGGGACGTGTCCTCAAGCACTGACCAGGGAGTTGCGGGAACATTTTGTCCCTAGTACGATTATGGGTATGTTTGGGGCAGTAGTCCTCAAGCACTGACCATGGAGTATGCTTGGAACAGTAGTCCCTCAAGCACTGACCATGGAGTATGCTTGAGACAGTAGTCCCTCAAGTACTGATCATGGAGTATGCTTGGGACAGTAGTCCCTCAAGCACTGACCATGGAGTATGCTTGGGACAGTAGTCCCTCAAGTACTGATATGGAGTATGAAAGGGAAATAGTCCCAAAAGACGCCCGGGAGTATGCTTGGGAAGAGTCCCTAAGCACTGACCATGGAGTATCTATAAACAATGTCCCTAAAGCACGCCCATGGAGTATGCCTGGAACAGTAGCCCCTAATCACTGCCATGGAGTATGCTTGAGCAGTAGCCCCTCAAGTACTGACATGGGTATGTTGGGGACATAGCCCCAAAAGCACTGCCCATGGAGTTGCTTGGGACAGTAGTCCCTAAGTACTGATCTGGGTATGCTAGGAAAAATAGCCCCTCAAGCATGACCTGGAGTAGTTGGGACAAAAAGTCCTCAAGCACTGACCATGGAGTATGCTAGGAAAAAATAGCCCCTCAAGCACTGACCATGGAGTATGCTTGGGACAGTAGTCCTCAAGACTGAATGGAGTTGCTTGGGACAGTAATCCCTCAAGTATGATCATGGAGTATGCTTGGGACAGAAAACCCTCAAGTATAAATAGGGTATGCTAGGAACAATAGTCCCAAGCATGACCATGGAGATGCTTGGGCGTAGTCCCTAAAGCACTGATAGGGGAGTATGCTTGGGACAGTAATCCCTCAAGTACTGATCTGGGTTCTTGGGACAGTAGCCCCTCAAGTACTGCCCCATGGAGTATGTTGGGCAGTAGCCCCTCAAGCACTGAATGGAGTATGTTGGGACAGTAGCCCCTCAAGTACTGTCATGGGTATGTTGGGGGGACAGTAGTCCCTCAAGCATGTCAGGGGGTTTGTTTGGGGACAGTAGTCCCTAAAGTACTGCCATGGAGTATGCGTGGGACAGTAGTGCCTCAAGACTGCCGGAGTATGCTTGGGACAGTACCCCTCAAGCATGCCAGTAGTAGCTTGGGACGTAGCCCCTCAAGTATGAATAAAGTATTTTTGGGGACAGTAGCCCCTCAAGCACTGCCCTGGAGATCCCCGGAACAGTACCCCTCAAGCATGCCCTGGAGTATGCGGGGGCATTTGTCCCTCAGTTGATCATGGGTATGTTGGAACAATAGTCCCTCAAGCACTGACCAGGGAAATATGCCGGGGACAGTGCCCCTAAAGCACTGACCGGGGTTTGCGTGGGACAGTAGCCCCTCAATACTGATATGGGTATGCTTGGGACGTAGTCCCTAAAGATGCCCAGGGGGAGTATGCTGGGACAGTGTCCCTAAAGTATGTGGGAGTATGTTTGGGGACTTTTGCCCCTAAAGTTGATCAGGAGTATGTTTGGGAAGACCCCTAAGTACTGATCATGGGTATGTGGGACGTAGTCCCTCAGGTACTGTCATTGAGTAGCTTGGGAAAATAGTCTTTCAAGTATGTCAGGGTTTTGTTGGGCAGTAGTCCAAAAGTATGGTCATAGAGTATGCTTGGGACAATAGCCCTCAGTAGATAAGGAGTATGTTTGGGGGGACAGTGTCCCTCGTATGATCATGGGTATGTTGGGACATTAGCCCCTAAGTATGATCAAGGAGTATGCTTGGGAAAATAGTTCAAGTCTGATAAGGAGTTGCTTGGGACAGTAGCCCCCTCAAGTATGATCTGGAGTTTGCTTGGGAAATAGCCCCTCAAGTACTGATCAAGGAGTTGCTTGGGACAATCCCCCTAAGTATGTAATGGAGTATGCTTGGGACAATAGTCCTCAAGTATGATAAAGGGAGTATGCGGGGGACAGTTGTCCCTCAAGTACGATATAGAGTAGCTTGGGCAATAGCCCCTCAATACTGAAAAGGGAGTATGTGGGAAAAAGCCCCTCAAGATGTAAAGGAGTAAGTTTGGGACAATAGCCCCCTAAGTATGATCAAGAGTATGCTTGGGACAATAGTCCCTCAAGTATGTCGGAGTATGTTGGGAAATAGTCCTCAAGTATGATCTGGGTATGCTTGGGACAATGCCCCTCAAGTATGATCATGGAGTAGTTGGGGGAAAATAGTTCAAGTACTGATCATGGGCTACACAACCTTTAAAAAACAAACCATTTTGGGGACAAAAAACCCATGTTGCTTAATCTAAAAAAAATTGTATTAATTAAAATAAAAACTGCTCAATGAACCATGTAAATATGTTTTAGTTATTTATTTGGTCTAAATCTTATTGACTGCAAAAAATGTCCATTAAAGGGTTGTATTCGCTTAAAATTTTTTTCCCAAGGCGAAAGGGGTAATATAAAATAATGAATAAAAACTATTTGAGAAATTTATGGTGCCAAAATTTTTCAACCCTTGATTCTTCAGTCCACGAAGAAGAACGGGGGGAAGCGTGAGGTAATTAGTCCCTACATGGAGTCGTTTGCTCAGTCCTCAATTTGGGATTGATGGATGTTTTTCTGTTTGGACGAAAAAGACAATGGGTGGGGGAAGTTTCCCCAGTAAGATTCCCCAAATTTTTTCCAATTCTCAAAGTTTAATTATGGGATTCTAAAAGATTTGATCACACCCGGTGAAAATGTTTTTGGGGG